TAAGGTAGGAAGTAATAACCTAATTACACATGATGTAGATATATGCTGTTCTAATTAAGCAACATCCTTATAGACTTAACTCTGTAACGTTGGCACAGGTTCAAAAAGAGATTGAACACATGCTCAAAGATAATATAATCAAAATGAGTTGTAGTGAATGGAGCTCATCAATAATAATGATGCCAAAACCAGATGGCACCCAACAGTTATGTGTGGACTATTGCAAAGTCAATGCAGTTACAAAATCTGAATCATATCCTATTTCATGTTTGGAAGACTGTTTTAAGAAGGTTGGACAAGCAACTTATACTTCTAAGTTGGACTTACACAAAGGTTCCTAGCAGGTACCTTTATCTGAAAGAGCAAAGGAAATTTTGGCTTTCATGACACTGAATGGACTATACCAGTTTAAAGTCATGCCATTTGGTATGAAAAATGCACCAGCCACATTTCAAAGACTAACCAATAAAGTCATTTCTGGATTACCTAATTCCATGGTGTACATCAACAATCTGGTGATTTTTAGTCACACATGGAAGGAACATTTGAAGCATCTATCAGAATTGTTCAATTGACTTTGGGAGGGGGGTTTGGAGATAAACCTGGATAAGAGTGACGGCTTGCAAAAGCCCAAGTCATGTTCCGGGACATGTCATTGAACATGGACAGATAGCCCCACGAGATGTAAATACAAAGGTTATTGGGGAGTTTCCCATATCATTGATGAAGGGCAAGTACTATAATTCCTGGGATTGAATGGTTTTTATCAGAAGTTCATACTGAATTTTAGAAGAGTGGTGTTTCGTATGACTGTCTTGTTGGACAAGTACAGAAAATTTCAGTGGATGAAGAATGTCAGAAGGCATTTGACAGTCTGAAAGTTGTGTTAACTAGACGGCTATTGATGTGAATGATGTGGGTGTTGGTGCTGTACTCTTGCAAGAAAACAGCAAGAAGATAGAAAGACCGATTGGGTATTTTTCCAGAAAATTGAATATTCATCAATTATCATTCCACAATTGCGAAGGAGACCTTGAGTTGGTGTTGGCATTGTAACATTTCAACATTTATATTGCCAGTACTGTGTCTGAGACAATTGCATATACTGATCATAATCCCTTAAAGTTTTTGGAAAAGTTTAAGGATAAAAATTCCAGACTGTTTAGATGGAGCTTATTATTGCAGCTATTCAATTTGAAAATTATACACATGGCAGGATGAGAGAACATAATTACTGATGTGTTGTGGCAACTTTGATGAAGAAAGACAGAGGTATTCAGTGGCAGGAAAAAATAGACTGAAATGGACTGTAGTAGTGAATGTTTGCATGCATAGAGTCAATGTAATGTACATGTATTGTAGTGTACTAATAGCGTAAGACTAAGGGTTATTAAAAATTAAGCCATCTTTTTGTATTAATCGTTCATTTTTTAAGGGGGTGGTGTGACAATACAATGGCTTTAAGAGGTGTACTTTGTCCTTTTTTTTATGAAGAAAGTGACAAGATGTGGATCGGTCTGCTTCAAAGCTATAAAGTAAACAGCTTGTGAGGCTTTAGGATTTTTTCTAAGGTTGGAACAATAGAATCAGCCTGAATGGCTGGGGTCAAGCTCCCCCACAGCCAGGATTTTAGTTTTAGTTTTCACTAGCAGTTGCTGGGGTCTTGAATTTGGGTTTGGAAGCTGCAGTACATCTCTTCCTGCTACTCTCTCTCTCTCTCTTTCAGAGTTTTCTCTTGATGTTTTCCTCCTGGACTGTAGAATTGGCTGTGAGACAATCTGTTTTACCGAATTTGCCTTTGCTAAGTGTTTATCAGAAGTTATTATATTGGAACAATTGCTGTTTAGTAGCTTAATAATCTATTATTCTGTTAAGTTTTCCAATAGAATTAAGTTATTCCAATTTCTTCTTTCTTTTATTGTATTTCAACTATAGTGTATGAATAAAGTGTGCTTTGCTTCAAATCTGGTAGTTTGACAAATCAAATTGCATCCAAGACATAACATCTGGCACTTGCCTTTAAAATAAGAAAAAGTTAGGGTCTAGGCTATCTTCATATATTTTTAGTGGGGGGGTGGGGGTGGTTTGGTCTGGTCTATAACTCCACAAGAGGGCCCTCTACAGTCTGTGTTTCTTCTTTTACCTTTTTTTTCTAATCAGCCCGTTCAGAGGTGTTATTACACACCTCTGGAGAAGGTTGGACTTGAACCTGGGCCAGCCAGTCCAGGAGTAGGGACAGTACTACTCTGCCAGAAGAGGCCCTTAAGGTCTGCTTTATTTATTTATTTTTAACTTACTTTTACTCATCAACATGTTCAGGGATCTTATTACACACCTCTGAAGCAGGTGGAACTTGAACCTGAACCTCCCAGTTCATGAGTAGGGACACTACTACTCTGCCACAAGAGGACCTTAAGGTCTGCTTTTTTATCAACTTTTTTTTTCCTTATCAAACTGCTCAGGGATGTTATTACATGTCTCTGGAGCAGGTGGGACTTGAAATGAAGCCTCCTGGCCCAGGTGCAGGGACACTATCACTGCAGAGGCACTCATCACAATATTCCAATCTTCCTTAGATTCAGTTTGAGGCCAGAAACTGGAGATTTGCAAATTTACAACGTTGTTTGAAAAAGTGTGTAGAGACAATGACAGGTATTACTTTGGTGGCATCTTGTAGTAACTGCCACTGATGCCAATAGTAAGTTTCATAGTAAGAATTGAAAGAATGCTGGTTACTCACCACCGGTGAGTACCACTATCACCATTATCTTTGGTATTGCTTGTTCTGCTGGTTGAACAATAACAGTTAATGATACCTGAATGAGCTCAGAGATTGTAGGAACTGCAGATGCTGGAGAATCCGAGACAACAAGGTGCAGGGCTGGATGAACACAGCAGGCCAAGCAGCATCATAGGAGCAGAGAGGCTGACGTTTCGGGCC